AGCCAGCCGCCACTACTGCCCTGGTTAGCCTTCAGTAGAGACTACAAATTCATGAATTTGTAGTATTATCTTTACTAATTCTTCTGACATTCAGTTCATTGTTATGTTGATGCTATTGAACTGTAATCTATTGATATTATTATTGGCTCTGTTATTTAAACATTAATGTTGTTAATAACACTAATTCATTCACTATTATGTGTATATATAAATGTAGAACCTGACGAAGAATTCTTGGAATGATTGTCGAACCGTCTATAACAGTCCGTGAGATTTATTTTGTAGGTAGTGTAGACCATGTCTTCTTTTGCTGTCGGGTCTTTTAGTCTGTATATTATTGTGTGAAGTCATTGTGTCGTTTCCTTATTGCTGTAAATCGTCGATAAGAAAATATCTTTGTGGCTATATAGGTGCTTTCCGGTGCAGCATTTCTTCCATATTATCATAATTGAAGGTAGTTTTAAAAGAAGGCTTCTTCTTATTCACTGTTTACAGAATATAAATTTTACATATGTACAATAAATCAATGACAAATAACAATGACCAGCAGGTACCTAATTAGTAGTCAGTTCTCGCCAGCTTGTTCCCAGTATATGTTTATAAAATGTATTACTTAACTCTCTAAATGCTGTTCTGTGTTGCTCACACCATTTTCATAAGTGACAAGAGCATCGCTTTTTGAGGTTTTGTGTCAAATACATCAAACTATGAAACAACTTACTAATCGAGAAGGGAGGATAGAAAGATGTCACAGAAATTGTTAATACTGAGCTGACATCTTAAAAACAATGAACCAAATTTCTCTGAATAGTAAGTTTTTAGCTTTATAACCAGTATCCATCAACCATTAATTCAAAACACCAGAAGAATCCTGTTCAGATAGACTGAACACTTCAACACAGCTGGGAACAACAGTAATAGATCATTTAAGACAGGCTAATTCCTGGATTCTGCAGTCACGCTGAACTAACCCTGTTTTTTTTAATTTCTCGTGTACTTCAAGTAATAATCAAAGTTTAATTAATGAATGGCCACGAGTTAGTAGCCACTTACATATTTAACGGTAAATGCGCTTTTCATTGCCCATCTTTTCCACCTTCTTACTTTCCTTCGCCACTAATACTATTCCTTAGACAGTTTATTCACCTTTTCTCTCTCTCTCTCACGCAACTTTATTCGCAAGAATGTTTTTCCAAGTCTTTTGAAATCACACTGCTGGCTTCTCAAAGGAGCTTTAAATGTTCTAAACTTACGAAAATCGGAGAGCACATTCAACAGTCATAACTCTGGTATCTTAGAACTTGCACATATCGTGTATCTGTGAGACAAGTATTCTAAAAGCACGTACAGTCATTTACTCAACTGCAGTTAGACAACACGGTGGGTCTTTAAAATTCACTGTATGAAAGTCAGAAGGTTTTTTATCCGTTTGTCAGAGACTTGGTGGTGTAGGAGGCTTCAAAGAGAAAATCCCACTGTTTAAGTGAATTCAGCTTACCGGTTGAATGAATCTGTAAGAATAAGGAAAGATCTGATCACTCACCCAATGACTGCAGTTCTGACAAAGCAAAGAAAGAAATTCGTCAAAATCTGCTTACCGTTCTGCTAAAAGTAAAATGATCAGATACGTTATCCTGATGAATATGCTCTAACTCAAATCTTGCAGACTTGTAGGAGCTTACAGGCAGTTGTCATCAAAGGTAAAGATGACCAGTACTGCCTGTTGCGAACATTACTGTCATTGTTCCAATTTATTTCATTATATATTTAGTGACTGGTGTTACTTGTCAACTTCACTGTTTCATGGAATGATGTGTAAATAGTTAATAGTCTTTTTGATCTAGAGTATGCAGATGGTATAGTTGTAGGTGAAAACAATGGCATAAATTCAATATTCTGCACATCCTGTGCAAAACATCCAAGTGAATTTGGCTCGCTATTCCCCTGCGTCACATATAGGATATTGATGATACAAGACTGATCTTCACTGACACCTAATTTAAGCGTAGGAAGGGTAGTGGTTGAAAGTAACGACTAAGTGACTTGTTTAAAAGTTGTGCTCCGGGTCAACTGATCATTGACGAAATCACAGTGCATATAGAGAATGATAGTTTGACTTTTACAACTTGCGTCATCTTTGGCACTGATGTGATATCCTGGTAATTATTAAAACGCATGTGTGCTGCGCAGTAATTTTACTTTATTTAAATCTGTGATTGCGTGATACGGCTGTTGAAGGTAGGTAATATAAAAAGAACAGAGGTTTGCAAGCAAAAGTTCAACCGCATGACTTGATGAGTACACACTCCGTAAAGTCATTGGCTGCTGGCCTGAGCCCCGAAGAAGAGTGTAGACTGCATAGTTAAGGTCCTCAAGTTACTTGGAAATCAGTGGTTGAAGACAATGCTCCGAAATGGTCTGCAAAAGGCAAAAATATATGCTGTTTTGTCCTCTTTCATATTATGAAAATGTTCACCAAATTTCACTAACTCATGTTCTTTCTCTTGCAGGATAGTCTGACTGAACTGCTTTTGCACTTTGTATTTCTTCCCAATTATAAATTAAGCGCTCTCGCGAAGTTCTATGTTGTTAAGTCAGTCAGTCATAATTTGATTTATTAACTGCACTCTTCAACCTGAACCAATAATCAATATTGCTGTCCCTTATTTAAATTTCTGATACTGACCTTTACTTTTTATTAGTCTAGAATTCTAAAAATAATAAAATATTGGGACTTTGAGGATTATTATTGAATTTTCTTATTTAAAATGGTATTCCCCTTCCCGCTCGGATGAGCATTCTGCTTTCTAATCGTATATATACTTAGCGTGGGAAAATTGCTTTCAATTAAATAACATCAATCTCAACGTCATAAGACAAAAGATAAAGTTGTAAAATGCATTAAACTTTTTCATTTGAACCAACAATATTATTATTTAAACTGTTTACTAAGTGGTGTGAACACGGGCAGTAATTTTGCTCGAAATATTGCCAATAACAAAACTTATCATTGTGTGTAAACTATTGAAATATAATTATACTTTATTTGTTTACTAAGACACATAATAACTGTCTTTTAATAGGAAATATTTCTGTACACATAAGAATAACATTTTGACGTACATAAAATTTTAGGTATAAAAGTTATCTTTTGTGTTACAGACAGCCTGGTCATTACCTGAACATTCAGATATTCAGTCTATGAGAACTTGATTACTTCCAAAATAAATTTCGTCTGAAGCCAATACCGGCTATTAAACTGGCAGACAGCAAGAAAAGCAGTAGACAGATGGTTTATTTTAGTTCGGAATGGTTTGAAAGTGTACAGCCTCAATTCTACCAAGGTTCAGTCCCAGATTGTGAACTGAGCATTAATGAACTAAACTTCTGTAATTTAATACTTTTTCTTACAACCTATTTGATGAACTACATTGGTCATGATTTTTCACTACAACTTGGGGAAATCTATCTTGTAGCTGAACTACAACAGTGTACAGTAGGACATTGCCCGGGTGTCCAGTTTTCTGAGGATCTAATTTATTCTAAAATTGCATTTCTTCATGAACCAAAATGAATTACAGGATTATTAAGAAATACGGAACACCATATGGCTATTTAGTGCCAGCATTCACCCACGAGAACTAAACCCAAAACCGCCAAACACATACACTGAACATTCTTCTATGAAACCACGTATTTTGTATCCAATTGGACCATTTCCACGATCAGAAATATGCATCACAAAAGGTTTTACATAAAAATACCGAAGACGTTATAACAGCGTTGGGTTAAAATTATTGAACAGTATGGCTTTTAATGCCTTTTTATATTTTCAGGTTTATAAATAAGAGTTTCATACAAAATCGATTGGTTTTTGATTGTATAACATGTTATAGAAAAGAAAGAAAAAAAATACTAAAACCCAAGTCCGGTTTTCATATAATCTGCTAAAAATGTATAAAGGATTTCTGTGTACATAAAGGTTTTTTAGGTAAATTAGTAATAATAATAATAAGGAACATCTTTACAGAGATAGATTTTGTTATACTGAGTTTGATCTAATTGAGAGAAAAGCAGTTCATGATCAGTTCACAAAATATCCTTAATATGATTGTCATCATTTGTATATATGTTAGAGAAAATTATGGTTATTTTGCTTATTGATAATTTTGAACGACTTTTCAACGTCCACCTCATGACCCGTGTCGAGAAGAAGCCTGGTGATGGCACTGTTTAAAGCATTTGTTCCCTTTAGACTTGCATTGTTCAAATTCATTAAGGGGAATAAATGTATGAAAATTATGGTTGACAAAAATGACGCTTGGAAGACGTTTCAATGTTTTGATGTACAACTTACTCCTTTTTGTACAGTAATTTTATGTCAATGTGTGTTGACAAATTCTGTCTGTTTCTCTGAGTAATACTTTGATATATAAATGGAAATGTCTATAATTACCTGTAAGTATGTGTATGTATATATAGCGGAAATCTTGAATAAAAACGTGAGAAATGATGAATCACTAGTCTCTTCTTAAATGCGAATGTTGATAGTTGAAAATAGAATACATATAAATATTTATAATAACTATGTTAACCTGAAGTCAGTTATAAGTTAAATAAAGATGATAAATATAGAGTAGTGTAAATTGAAGAAGACGAAAGTCCTTATAGAGTGTATCGACAACTCTTATCAAGAAACTAAATAACATCTGTATGCAATAAACCTTAAAATTTATAAATAACAAAAGTTGACATCTGTCTTTAACAAAACATATACATATTAATAGGGAAGAATATACCTGTACTGATAAACAACTATGTATGATCAGGTTTTTACTACTTAAATGCACTCAGTAGACTGTAATTCTGGTGTCATTTAGAAAGAAATTCGTATGCGCTGAACACTTCATTTCTGCATATTTGATCTTTGGTAAACAGTAGTATGCATATATATAATACTGATCAGGTTGTCTTTATGAATATGATTTCATTATTATTGATTAACATAGTAATAATACATGCTTGAATTGATATACTGAATTAATAAGAAGTGTAAGCATTATATAAGTTACATAATAATAGGAGTGTTTTATTCGACTACTTGAATTACATCCATCTTTATTACAGAAACAAAGATACCCGACTGATGATCTTGATTCAGCAATACACACTAAATACTTTTCCATTTTAATATTTAAATTTGTTGAACAATTACGTATTAGATGTTTTTGCCCATCTAAAACAACAAATAAGATGAAGAAAAAACAACAACAAAAAGAAATACTGACGATAAAATGTACTACGATAACAAATTATATTTAATGATATTATCCAACAATTCTCAAAAGTATTAGATGGTTGGAGGCAATAAACCACAGGACGCCTTGGACCTAGGTTTCGTGCTAGTTGACACTCACCCGTCAGCAAGGTATATCTGCAGCCTTGAAGGAACATTCATGTCCCTTCTCAGATTCGAATTTGACTGATAGAATTCAGTCTGCACCAAACAAAGGACTAGACACATCACACTAGCTACTAGTGTCCAATCAAAAACATCCAATACAGCTTGAACAATTCAGTGGTAACACCTCTGACTGCAGCACTGGGTGACGCGGGTTCGAATATCAGAAAGGTTATGGGTTCCTTCAACGTTGCAGACACGCCTTGCTGACTGGTGAGTGTCAACTAGCATGAAAACTAGGTGCAAGGCTTCCTGCCAATTCCTTCCAACCATCTAATACCAACAATTCACAGTGTACCGTAACGGTGAGCTACCTAGAATGGTGACCACATTGCAAACCAAACCTTACTGATAGAATTCAGTCTGCACCAAAGATAGGACTAGACACATTACACTAGTTGCTGACTATTGTCCAATCAAAAATTCTCAACAGTTTGCATAAAGTACTCTATTGGCATTGCCCCATTAATAGTGCAATGGTACACATAAACATTGTAAAATGGTGACCACCTATGTTAGAATATTTAGGTAAGGAGTTTGTTACTGATCTGGATTTTTACAATTGCTTTTAGTATTAATGAGGGAACACATTGCATGGATTGATGAAAACTGACCAATATGGAATGTGATAATATTTGAAGAAATCTACGTACACCTTACTGATTTGAGCTACAAAAAACCTCTTCATTCACCGCACTATTCGAAGTTCTGATTGTGTTTAACAATATCCCATTTAAATATGCCTTAGGTTAAGTAGTAAGGTGAATACTAATAATAAAGACATTTCGTATGGAGAAAAGAACTTCGCAAAAAACCGTGTATATCACCTGGATCTCTAATTTAACAGCTGTCAACATTATAGGGATAATTACCGATTAATATGCAATCTATTACAATCAAGATGGCTATCAAAACTACTACATGTACGATTATATATATATATATTGTGTAATTTTAAAAACAAGCATAAATCTCCCAATCAGAACAAAAGCTTCACTTATTTACCTGGACTTTGAAAGGCCCATTTAAAGCAATAATCATTACAGTCAACCAATGGAAATGATTTTGCCTGTGTTGGTTGCTTGGGGAATGGATCATTACAATGGCTGTCTTGCACAGAACTGCAACTATAACACTTGATTCGTTGACCTTTCAACAACAACGAAAAAAGAAAGCAAAATGAAAGAAAAACATGGTATATCCAAAAAAGAAATTGCAGAGAAAAAATCTATAGAAGAAATCACTATTTTCTTTGTTTAATATTTAAACTGATATAAAATGAAAACTATGTTAATACTTGGAACCGTAAATTTCGGTAGTTTTTTGGATCAGGTCAGGTAAACCAAAAACCACTAATTAGGAAATAACAGAAGATTAGTCGACACATGATTGAATTCTATTTATTTTTGCACCCATAGACTATTTAAAACAAATCAATAAATAACAAAGTTTACATTAGGAATCTATATTAGTTATGTGAATAGTACAAAAACAAGAATGGTCGACCGCTGCTTCATTTCATCCTCTTTAAGATAATAAATCGTATTCTTCACTACTTTTCCTGTCGCCAAATAATTAGTTACGTATAATGTAGGATGCAAAACAATGATTAAATGTTTTCATGTCACCAAGTTTACATCATCAGAGAGATAAAAAATTAGACAGTTGAGATATAAAAAACGATTGTTATGATACAAATATTGTTGGGTGAAGTACTAAAGGACAAAAAAACAATAGGAATAATAATACAGAATTATATAGCGTTGAAAGTGTGGCAGAAAACGTTAATGTATCTTATTTGCTGCTTTCAATTTTGAGCTACATTATCTATAGTAATTACCAAGAACCTGTAAGTTTACATGTTTCTTCACTTGTGCTGTTATTAAATAATCTATCGGCATCTTGATTTCTATAAATTATATACCAATACAAAGTATCTGCGTTAAAATTTCTTCGTCTACTGAGTAAGCATTGTTTTCAGAAAGATAGAGTGCACATGTGGTTAGAATACTCAGCTACACTGACTATACAGTTCTCCCAATCTAAATCAGATCTGAAACTCCAATCATTCACTAAAATGTCTGGACTAATGCAACTATCCAGACAAATGAAGTGATCAGGATATCTAAGAAATTTCATTTATACTGTCAAGCTGCACCTAAAGCAGCAGTAATTACGACATTACATTTTCCATTTGAAAAGTGACAAACCAGCTTTTTAACATCCCCAAACTGATATCTAAACTGCGAAACCTCAGTTTTATTGTCGTCCTGAGCTAGACTATGGTAAATTTGCATCCTTAAAATGACAAAAATTCTTAGTTTTAAGACTAACAAACCTGTCCTATGAAAATAACACCACCGCTACTAAAACTTCAAGTCCTGAAGTCCTGATTATGGATAAGATTTTATTTTGATAAATCAAACACAGTGTTGTACAGTTATATTAACTGATGACGTTTCGAGCACAAACTATTGCCACTCATAATCATATCAAGTAACTCACATAACTTTTTCTTTTATTTATATACATGTGTGGAATGGATTAGATATTGGTTAAAAACCAGGGTGAGATAATGTCCATTCAGAAATAATAGTACGAGTGTTATTGATCCATTACAATTATGTGGGAATACGAATGTTTTATACGATAATAAACAATCTTAAAATTCTATTTCAATTCAAATACATCAAAACATTCTAACAAGTAACGTATTATGACTATAAAAAAACACTCATATAAAACATTCGTATTCCCATATAATTGTAATGGATCAATAACACTCGTACTATTATTTCTGAATGGACACTATCTCACCCTGGTTTTTAACCCAATATCTAATCCATTCCACACATGTATATAAATAAAAGAAAAAAGTTATGTGAGTTACTTGACATGATTATGAGCAATAGTTTGTGCTCGAAACGTCATCAGTTAATATAACTGTACAACACTGTGTTTGATTTATCAAAATAAAATCGTATCCCTAATGGAGTTATACTCTACCACAGTGCCCAAGTTTATACTTATATCCTGAAGTCCTGTGTTTCGTTCAGAAAGGAAAAAATGCAAAAAAATAGTTACTAGTATTGATCAATACATAAAGGAAGTTGAATAAGGATGACAGGGTTACACAATGAGATAAATAATGTGGTAGATGAGTAGTAATCAAGATGTCCATAAAAACAAAAAAAATATAACACTAAGTTGCGGTTCGGAAGAATAGAGGCGTTAGGGAGAGTATTGCATTACTGAGACTCTAGCCGTCAAGATGCTTTCGTTCCTTTAACTCTTTATAACCCTTCTCTTTTTTCGAGATTTTATTCAATATTACATTTTCTTCGTTTGTGTATGCATTCTGATTGCAACTCATTCACTAAACTATACAGGTCACTATGTAACCCTAACACCCTAACCCCATTCAACTTTTACGCATTTACCAATATTAGCAACCATCCTTGTGACAATACATCTTTTTTGTTAGTAACCGATCAGCCTTAGAAAACCAATCTTTTGAATGAATATCATAAGATGCTTAAGTTAGCTAAATGGAATATACCCTATAACTAGAGAATAGCGTCATTCAACGGAGTAGATAAATACGTTTCTGTTCTCAGGTTTCAGTTAAAGCCAGTGCTTATCCATGATGGTCATAAAAAGGAAAATTGATTCGCTATTAACTGCGTTTGTAAAAAGACGGTGTTTGTTGGAGCCTTGATATTACTTTATGAAGAATTTTTTCTATCCCTTCACATTCCTAATGGAACATATTGCTTCAAGCTAGAGCTTTGAAGTTTCAGTAGCAGTGGTGTTTATTTTTATAGGATTGGGTTACTAGTCTCATGTCCAACCTTCTCTCTTTACCAGACATTACCGGCTTAGCGACGCAAAGGAATGCTTCTACCAAGGATCGAACCCGGGACCACATGCGTGGTTGGTGAGCATTCTATGGCTGTGCCACCGACGCACTTTATGAAGAATGTTTCCAAAGATATTTGATGATAAACGTAAGCAACAATAACTCTCCATATTTGTGGGGGGAAAAATACACCTTGTATCATACATCATATTATGCTTAATGTCAAATAATTAATAAGGACTCAGTAAGCGGAAGGCCTCACTTTCACCGAACGGACAAAATTTGAGTTCATTATAACATATGCGAATACGATCCAACACAATGGGATGTTAGCTAACCTTACATTAGTAATTCAGCGATTTTAAACATTGAGTAGTTTTCTAAGGCATAAGAGGGATGTGTCGGACTACTTACAGACAAAAACAAAGTTTATTGCAAAATTTCTACACAGGCAAATAATCGCTAAATTTTGACTGTAGAAGTGAACTTTTTGAGTGAGTCAAAATCTCAGTGAACAGTCAGAACTATTCATAAGCTAACAAGCAGTGAACTAAACAAATAAAATGCCTGCTAAGTCTAGTATTTGTTTTTCGGAAAAAAGGCCTACATAGTTTCAGAGTACATATACAAGCAAATCCTGTCTAAATCGGGAAGACTTGAGTTGTATGCTCACTAGTTAAAATAGGTGCCGGTATATACAACAGAAAAGCCCCAGCAAAAACAAAGTACACATGATGGGCTCTATCGCTAGCTTCAGCCGGAGAGCCAACTTCGAATTGAAGAACAAGGCGAAATTGGGATATCTAAATAGGAAGCCCAAATGCTAAGGTCAGGGTGGATAACTCAATCCAGAAATAACAATAAGTAATGATTATAAAGCCCAAATACACCATGTGAAATGATCTATAACTTAATGACACAAGCTGAGGAGTATGAACGAACAATCATGAATAAACTATGTGATTAAAAAATACAATACACAACCGGCTAGAGGTAAGTTAAAGCCTTGCCTAACAGTTGGAACAAACATAAGTGTAAATAAATTTAAGACAGTACAGCTTTCACTAAAAGTCCTCACTAAGTGTCCACTTTTACAAGTCCTCTACATTACCCACTACAGTCGTTACAGGACTAAGCACATGATATTACAGTTTTATCATAAGCTGCAGAGTCACTATAATCAGCATTGATGTCTTTAAGGTTTTTTAAGTGATGCAATAATAATAATAATACCAAGAGCATTTAATTCACCCTCTTAAACGTAATGAGGACTGGCTTGCACCAACTCTTCAACTTTAAAGTACTTGAATATGATATATCAGTCAGTCCAGTTAGTTAACATTCATCGATTAGGGTGACAAGAACAAAAGTTATGCGTTCCCCTTTCTACCATCCGAAGTACTTCCTAAAAGGAAAAAAGGCCGCTAATTGTTATAAGTGAGCGTTGAAAAGCTTTTTGCATACTAATCCATTATTGGACACTACAATTATAATACATCTGCAACTCTGACTGCTCGTAGAGTATCTTGCAGTTTTTGATGAGTGGTATATACCACAGGGGACTTAAAGCTTGTCAACACGTTAAAAACTTAAAGTATGATCTTAAGCAGCAAAATAATTACAAGTATTTTGATTGAAGGTGCTACATAATGATGATTAATAAAAATATATATGCAAAGGCAAAGCAGTTTACCTGGACAGTGATCGGGATCAGCTGCCAAAATCTGCTTAAATGTGATCTGTATAAAATAAGCTAAAATTCATTTACTAGTAAACCATGGAACGCTTACCAAGAACTACGTGAGTATATAAAATGCCCATTCCACACGAATTCTGAGTGGAAACATAAACTACCCACTTTCATTGTCCATTCTGAAAGTACGTAATTTAAACAACTGCTAATCATTTAAGACTAACAGGTTTAATGAAACCCCGATGGCTTTGAAAATCTAGATTATGGGTCTATTTTGACAGAATGATAATGGTTTTTGGCTTTTATGCCTTTAATTTTTATTGAGTTCTCATCAACAATTATGAGTACAATGTACAATAACTTCTTGGTTAACTTGGTGCCAGACACGCAAGATAATGGCAGCATATACACAAACAGAGATAAAAAATGGAAAGAGACCAGCAAAGTCAGCGAAAATGAAGTAGAGTAAAATAATGGAGTATATGGAAATAAAAAGGAAGCCACCAGTACACCTTAGAACTAATACACTTTCCTGAGAGCAAACTTATCTTTTTTAAGCAATGGCCTTGTCCTCTTTTGAAGCTATGGGCTGATATAGCGATTGCTTCCTCATTCACATGTGACCTTCATAGGTGGCTTGTCTCAATAAAAAAGTTAGCCTTCACCGATTTAACATAAGAGATGTGCGAAAACTGTTTTCTACTACCTGAGACTTAGTGATATTGAAAGCTAATTAACTCTAAGTAGATTTCTCCTTCATGTTGTCTTCCCGTGACTAGATCAATTCTTCCTCAGTTCTTATGATTCTATAGAAATACATCCTGTGCATCGAGAAGCACTGGAGAGTCTAAGGGATTTGGGAGATTGTATTTGTTGAAAAATCTCAAATACACCGCTGACTATCTTTCACCATGTACAGCCTACTTGATTCACCTCCGTTCACGTTATATGCCATCCAGGCGAACACCAGTCCCAGATAGCTATGTGTTTTATTCGTATTTTTCAAACTTTGTGGAGTAAACTTTCGTAAGAAGCCAAGCTGGAGGCATCCCCAAACTCCAGGAGCAAGATATGGACTGAAATATTCTGGTTCCATCTACGTACCCAATTATCTCCGGCTTCCAGCAAGTTGGCTAATTACAAACCCTCAGATGATCCCTAGTGTAGTCACTAAATAGGCATCTCATCATATACGGTAGTGTTAGTTGTAAAACTTCCAGATACTACTCTCCCTGAAAGTGTGTGATAAGAGTTCCCGCTTTTTGGCCTCTGGACATTTGATATCCGTCCAATGTGTGCTCAAGCAGCTGTAACACACAACTTGTGAATTATGAATCTGGTGTGCCCGTGTCCTAAGGATCTCCCTTCAGGGAACTTTTTCAGCTTCTTCACAACTACATTCGGAGTTATTTGAGCACAAGTAATGCGACGCCAAATTGAAACTGTGAGCGCTCCAGGGATGTGTACTTTGTTTGATTCCTAGTTATTCGGCTGCCTTTCAAATGCATAACCAAGGTTCGCATTTTTCCTTGGATTACTTGGGAGTTCGCCCTTCTGGTCAGCGCTTCTCGTCTAACCCATGAATCGGTACAGATTCCAGCAGCTGGTTTGAAATTTGCTATCTAGGTTTGCCTGAAAAGTTCCATCCAATCGAATTTCAGTAATATACAAATGTATGGTGTCTAGGTATTCTGTGTAGTTGAACTGCCTATCTAGAAGTTATTTTTACCATCCGTTTTTGGTTTACTGAGGTTTGTTTTAGAGAGATGCTGCTATCAATGGGACGAAAACGTTGATTACTGTCTTGATAGTTCTTATTACCTACTTCCAGTTGTAGTGTGCTTTTAATAAACGATAAAATTGTGATCGAGGAGCAGACTGTAGAGGTCCCCTCATCATCTGAAATTTCGTCTTATCATGGATTTGTGTGCATCATATTGGTGCTTTCCACTTACGTCAGTGGTCACCGATTTTGAGATGCGAAGCATGACTCCAGCTTCAACCATTGCGAGAAACCTTTCTTATGATATAGGTATCTCTCTGGCTTCAATCTTACATCATGCGACTATCAATTAACTGGCATTTGCATTAAAAATAAGATTTATTACGCCTAATCGGTTCAGAGTGACTGATAGTGATGCGCATTTCCCATAAAGTATCATCCGTCCCATCAAAAGCCCACATGATTTAGCGTATATTTTACCTTTCTCGATTTCACAGAGATAAGATTCCCATAAATCCTTGCCAAATAGATCTACACTAACCAGTAGACTGTTACTGCAAGCGAGCCAGTTGGACATTATCACAGATCGCCTTCTCCTGTCAGACCGCCCTTATGAGATGTCGGTAACAGCCCTGCTGGACAGCAAACCTAGAGTGAGCTGCTTCCGTTAATGGCCACAGATCAGTTTACCGCAGTGTGGTGGCACATACGTCTCCTCTAAGGAAAATTAGTCTCTCAGATGGGTTTGATTTGATCCACTGGTTTACGAGTATCTGTGGGTTTAACTATTCTTAGTTGATTGCAGACATTCAGACGATCTCCATTTTATTTCTAAAGTCTTTATGTTCACAGTTTCTTTGCTGGTAGTGGTTTCTCTGTTAATCGATCGTCAGCAGGGTCATTGGGGCATATTCAGCGTACATAACAGAACCAAGGACATTGTTTATGTAGCGTAAATAATTGAAGTTTAGGTGTGATGTTCATATTGCAAATGAAGCTCACCCATATTCGAAAGTCCCTTTGTGATGTTACACGTATACGAGTATTGTGTTCTTCCAGTGCCGGTTAAACTCCCTATAATGTCCTTACATCCGAGGTGAAAAGTGATCACAGCGTTTGAATGGGGCGGAGGACGGGTTCGCTCATTTTGTGACGACTTCCGACTCGATACACGTTGTAAGGATGATGGGACAAGTTTTTCTGTCTAGTGTTTTAAATAGTGGCATATTTCCTGACAAGCCTGATAAGTCAGTTCCTGATCAACCTCTATTAATGACCTGCACGCGCGCTCCCATCACCATTCTCTAGGTCAGGACGAGAACATCGATTTAAAAAGTACTTGTAACGTGATAACACAACTCATATCTGTAATTGTAAGAGATATTGTAAAGGGCATAAAAGATTGTAAAAGGCATCTTCGACTTCATCCTTGGTTGCGAGGTTATGCGTTCATACAAACTTCAGCTTACTGCCACACAGGTCGTGGGAAAAGAAATACTATATATGCAGCAGTAACAACTGTAGCAGCACATCGACAGAGATGGATCTAGCATGCTGACAACAGCAATGGATGATGCATTTTTTGGGTGAATTGAACTCATTCTTTCAGTTGGTTACATCCCATATGGCAGCCGAAAATAGACATAGTTCAAATAGCACGAGATGGATGCACATTTCTGGATTCAAAAGGTGCACCTTAAATCGAAAATCCATGTGACCAGCCTATGTGAAACTGTAATTTCTGATGCCTACTTTGAGATCTTATGAAGCGGTATTGGATTTTTGTTGGATTTAGGTACCATGGAGCTACCTAATTTTACCCCTTAATTTTGCTGGATGCAGTGAGTAGCGAGTGGCGAATGCTGGTCAGCAGACGTGGTAGTGGCCACAAATGTGAATAGCTCCGATATGTAGGACAGCAACATACATTTTTAACAGCTCTGGAATTAAACACTCGTCTAAATCCTTAAAAAAAGGGGTTGTACAAATGTAAATTTTAAAAGATGCTTTTTCTTTTGCCGTCTACAGACCTGTACAGCTTCCAGTCAAAGTACTACCTCGTAGGCCCTACAGAATTTCGTGGAAGAACTTTCAGGTCAGCTTGTGCTATGGGTTCCAATCTTCCAGATTTCTGAATTCACCCCTCGCCGAAATATCACTTGTCTACCTCACGACAATCTTTTTATTCACGCACTATTTTGCCCTATTTTATCTTGACTACCTAGGCCTTTGTTAAAGCTAAAACTTGCCGTTTGTGCATATTTATTGCTTGCCTAAAGTCCAGTCGCTTTGATGAGAAAAGCAACAACACCACTGTTTGAGCAAAGCTATATTTTTACCAAAGACGTCACAGTTTCTATGCTTAGACCACTATTGTTGACATTTAACATTGCAAATGTATATTATCAATGCAAAGAGTCTTCAGCTCCTTCTCGTGTATATCTTGTAGATTTACTTCCAATGATGTATTATCCCTGATTGTGTTTTAGGCCATTTTGCAATTTCCCAGGACGTTCTCGTCCTCCTGAAATAGCTTTTAATCAGGCGGCGGAATAGCACTTACCCAAATATACGCCATTAACCGGTTGACCAAAACTGTTACCTTGAAGGAGAGCGTAGTTCGGATTGTCGCTCAACTTTGGTGGTGACCTTACTGAAGGGTTTACAATTTAACGTACATGAGAACCTGTTCTGATTGCTAATACAATAATCGAACAATTGAAACTTTCGAAAAAGTATTAATTTATGATACTTCAGGATTGTAATTTATAACATAACTGACTGTGTCTGTAAAAATGGCATGCATTTCTAGCAAACAGACGAAATATATATTATTAAAACAGTCCGTTTTGTCTACAGTTTTGATGGCGCTGGTGTAGATGGGATTTCTTCCATGCAAATTAATTTGTATGCATGAACTGTCTGGTAATGTTATCGGATTAGTGTTACTAGTTAAGATTAGTGGTTGTCTTTATATTGATAATCCTCCAGACTGGTAGGGAAGGGGAATATGTATCAATAAAGTAAAAGTGAAAAATAAAAAATAGGTAGATGAATAAATTGGACTCAAAAAAATGCACGTAAGGCAAAAAGAAAAGGAAGCATTGTGAAGAAGGTAAAAAAAAGTACCAAGGGGATAACAATACTTGACTGCCAGACTGCTCCTGCTATAAGTGTGAACCGGCTGACTTTCACTATTCGTCCAGCCCTCTCTGAAAGCTGTGGGATTAGAGAAGGTTCATGAAACCTTTGAATCTTGAAGCATCCTAGCTGAGGAGTCGAAGGGATATTGAGGTTTACGAGAAGAACGATATTCACAAACGCAGGTTCTTATCCTCTAACTCCCACCAAATTTACCACCCAGAATATGAATTATATTTTGGGGTCAGAATCGTAGCGCGATGA